CGCTGGAGCAGATGTAGACAAGAATGACTCCTAAGCGATTGAGGTGTTCTGTTGTTGGATGTAATAATGAACAGCAGTCGTCATTTACACCTGACATCTGAGCCGCTGATCTCGCAGTGGATTACATTTGTTTCTGAAGGGAATGCGCCCCCGATCTACATAAATGCGTTTATGTTCGCGCGAATCATTCATGATCCAGCCTCATCTACAGAAGAAGTGAGTATAATGTTTTGTAATGAATCTTTGCAAATCGCTTTTCCTAATAATGTGCTAATTAGCAAGTTTCACGATGAATAAACCCTTTCACTAAAGTAAACAGTCTCTCTGAGAGCAGCTCGGAAGAGAGAGGCGGGGTCAGCAGAGCTCATTAACATTTAAAGGAAAATGCTACAAAAACGTCTTGATCTGAAAAGAGCTGTTTTTGACAGGGTAAAAAATGTGTTTTTTACACTACCATTGAGAAATTTTAAAACCAAACTATGTTACAGAATTTTCATTAAGACCCCAAAGCATCATATCAACTTGTGGAAAATGGGCATCCTATGACCCCTTTAAGAGCACCACAGTCTGTTTGGAACTTTTGTGTTTCGTAGAAAAAAAAGAAAATACAGAGGTTTTCAGAACAACATGAGGTTAGTAAATGATGACAGAATTTCCATATTTCGTGAAATAATATGATTATTTCATAAGTGTGTAGTGCTGACAGTTGGCAAAAAATAGCATACATTTTACTAGCATTAGAGGAATAGATCCCATGTTAAGCACATGTCCTTTAAGTCTGAGTTTGTTAAACTTAAACCCACCATTACAGCCATAAACACATTTAAGTAACCTTAGGAGAGCCAAGAATTTGAGATCTTTGAAAACTGAGTACCAGAAATGACCCATAAATTGTGTGTGAGCTTTAGCTGCAAGCCATGGCCATTGTGTTACGACGGGAGCTTATTTACTCTGGTGGTCTGTCAAACATGCAACAGGTTTCAGGTTAATGTGCTATTAGAATGCTTCCATTTCGTTAATGAAGAATGCAGAGTTTCACGACTGTTTTTGTGCCACCACAAATCAAAGAGTGAAACAAAATGCACATTAGTACCGGTTGTCATTACTTATAAGGTGTAGGCTCATTTTAACACCTCTAATTGGCCACTACGCATTGACAAACTAAAATGGAATGCTGTAATCGACACTTTGTCCCGGTAACTTAATTGTGGCAGCTGTAATTGCAATCTTGATATTCAGTTATTTTTGCAGCTGTAACGTTTGTTTTTTCAGTTCTGTTGAGCAGTCCTCTTCTGAGATATGTGTTTTTGATGACTTTGTGACACATCTCTATTTCTAGTCTCATTAGGGACTATAGAGAATCATTTCTTTGTACTCCAAAGTGTCAATATTGGAGACGAGCGTGATGGTATCACTGACCACTGCTGCAACACAGGTGTCTCTGATTATTCATAGCCTCATTTCCAGGGTTATGGGAAATAGGGTCTGACATCTGAGTGCTTTGTTCTTCATTTCCACCTGTCTATAGAGGGAAAATGAGAGTTAAATGTCTGTATTTTGTGCATTATGTTACCACACTGATCATGGACAAAGGCCAGCTGTATTTGTTTACACTGCACTAAAAGATCTTCTCCTTTTGTGTAATGCAAACTTTGATATGATCAAAAGTTGTAAATGCACACAAACTCCGTATTTTAATCTGAGATATCTTACATCGTCACTGCCAGTTATTCTCTGCACACTTATCGCCCAACCCAAATGAAAATGAAGTCGGGTTGACAACTTTCCAGTGGCTTACATTCCATCATCTTTTAAGTCTTTTTTTACCATGTGGTGCTTTGCGCATTTCTCTATTAAAGGATACATTGTTATCTGCCACTATGAGATATTGATATTGGAGCAGAATGACAGATTGGATTAGGCCAATGATTTTTAGGCCTCTGTTTGCATATCGGTCACTGTTACTGGCCCCAGGCAGGGCAGTGGACCTTTGCTGTTATCTCATGTTTCCTGATTGAAAAGCATCAAGCTCACAAGCAATATCTTAATAACTGATCCAATAACTGATCTGTTTGGTTTAGTCTTAGACCTTTCATAGTGACAAATATGCTGTAATCTTATGATGACAGCAGTATGACTCTATATACAAAGTCCCTTTAAGGCAAACCAGTTCACTAGTAATATTTGTAACATCCCAAGGCAGCTATTTTCATTCAAGAAAAGGCATCTACTTCAATAGGGAAACAGCTAAATCTATGTAAGTGTTTGTCAAAATTGTTTAATTAACGACTGGAATAAAACCTCATTCTGCTAGGTATCTCTAAAATTGTGCAGTGATACCTTCTTAAAGTGATTGTTCACCTAAAAATTAAAATTCTGTCATCATACTCACCTACATGTTGTTCCAAACTTGTATGACTTTCTTTCTTCTGCATAACACAGAAGAAGATATTTTGAAGAATGTTTTGTATCCAACAGGTTTGGAATGATATAAGGGTGTGTAAATGATGTGCACACCAAAAGAGAATTAAATTATTTGCGCAAGTAGATTAAATATAAAAAGTCAATGCAAAGACAAGCGAATTCGCGGCGCGCCGGAAGACGCGATTGTCGCGAACACGCGATATTCGCCTCAATCGCGTCTTCCGCGCAAGTTGAAAAATGTCAACTCTAGCGGAAATTTGCATGATGTATTGTGGCACAAGCCATTCAGTGAAGAGCTTGTTGTTTTTACTTGCGCAAGTGACACGAATATCATCCCGCAAGTAATCTAGAGCGAGTAAATCAATGAGAATATGCTCTTCGCTTTTGGCATGCATATGAGTTCAAGTTGTCATCATGGCCCAGCCCTGCTAAAAAACAAAACAAAAAAACAAAACATAAAAAAGGCTAAACCCGGCCTAAGCTGGTTGGCTGGTCTTAGCTGGTTTAAGATGGATGTATAGCTGGTTTTAGCTGGTCTCCCAGCCTGACCAAGCTGGTTTTAGCTGGTTGGTCAGTTGGTCTTCAAGTCTGACCAGCTAAAAAAGTAGTCAAAACCCCTCTAAAATCAGCCTGTTGACCAGCTATGACCAGGCTGGACAACCAGCTAAAACCAGCCAACCAGCTGGGGGTTTTTTTTCAACAGGGAGTCTGTACATTAAAAATTTACAATTTCCAAAAAAGTCTGAAGTTATTCTGAAACGTAAAAGGTTCCAGTAGAATAAGTTTCAGAGCAAACATTTTAGTTCAGAGAATGAACTGATCTGGTTTATTGTTTTGGGATGTTGTCCATTATCCCCAGAGTCTGAATCACATTGAGTAATTTCTCCACATTGTTCAGTTATTTCCTTTGAGTCTGAAGTTTAAATTACACTTACTTACTTTGAAGTTATAAAATTAGTTACATTTAATTTAGGAGAAAAAAAATACAATTACACAAGAAGTAAAATATAATGATTTTGTGTGCACGAACTGCACATGTGACAAATGATGGAAGTAAAAGTGGAAAGAATTAGTATTATTATTGCTTTGTTTTATTGAAAATTATTTTCAATAATTAAAAAAACTAACCATAAAATTATACAGTTCAAATGAGACATTGTAAATTGTTAAATTATTAAATAAATATAAATTAAATTAATAAAATAATACATTTTTGTGTTAGTTGATCCTTATTGTTTAAGGAATACTGTATGAATCTGAAAGGTTTTATAAAAGTGGCTTGCATGTGCAAGGAGCATGTAGGTCACCTGTCAAGTCATAATGTTCTGCTCTGTTTATGTTATATCATATTTCCTCATTCTAGAAGGTACATATAATCTGCTTGATCTAAGGAGAAAAAATACGTCCTTCATACCAAGATCTGCGCAAACGTCTGTTCAGAAAGAAACTTCCTCCTAGAGATTCTGTACCAGCAGATACAAACCTTGGAGAACAACATGGAGATTTGTAATGAATGTTAATTCAGTTGACTCCAAACAAACAGATGCTAATGCGAGGATGACCAAGGTTAGGGGTGGGAATAGGAAAACATACACTCAATGTATCATAGTGCAAATCTAATCTAACAAATACACTGCACTGCTCGGAAAAGCACATTTCTCAACAATAATAAAAATCGCAAAATTGCAGTGATCGTAAATAATGAATCATATGACTCACATAATTGTTCTTTTTCCTATTTTGCAGATGGATGTTGTTGGACACACCAAAGACGATTAGACATTGGGCGACCTTCAGAGATGGAAGTGACTGTTTCATACTGCTAAAAAAAAAACCTTGACCCACCTGAAACCACTCCATGGTGATCGTTTTACGAGGATTAATGGCATGTTCTCTTGTGGGAACGTCTTTGACCTCTGAGTTCTCCTAGAGGTTAAAACATTAGCCATGAAATGTGGTAGAGACACGTGACACATCAGGCCCACCATGCTAGACCGTAGTGGGCAACAGTGTTACAGTCACAATACAATACATGAAAGCTAAAAGGAAACCTCTTGACTTTCTAGTCTTAGTTTTAAACATGGCTTGAGTTGGGACTGTAGAAGCCTCAGCCAATTTCGATGATTATAGAAGTCTCTGAGGAAGCGAAGAGACCATGTGTAACATCTCAACCTCGTGCAATGTTGACTCGAACATAGACCAGTTCTTCCAGCCGGCGCTGTATATTATCGTCATCGTCCTTGGGTTCCCCACCAACTGCATGGCCCTGTGGGCCGCGTACATGCAGGTCAGACAGAAGAACGAGTTGGGGGTCTACTTGATGAACCTCTCGGTGGCTGACCTCTTGTATATAGCCACTTTGCCGCTTTGGATCGACTATTTCCTCCACCATGACAACTGGATCCACGGTCAAGTGTCCTGCAAGCTGTTCGGTTTCATCTTTTACACCAACATCTACGTCAGCATCGCCTTCCTCTGCTGCATATCTGTGGATCGTTACTTGGCAGTGGCTCATCCCCTGAAATTCGCTAAAGTCCGCAGGGTCAAAACAGCCTTGCTGGTCAGCGTTGTTGTGTGGGTAACAGAAATAGTGGCCAACTCTGCGCCTCTCTTCCACGATGAGCTTTTCAAGGACCGCTTCAACCACACCTTCTGCTTCGAGAAGTATCCCATGCAGGATTGGGTGGCCGGGATGAACCTTTACCGTACTTTTCTCGGTTTCTTGGCGCCTTGGGGAGTGATGTTGGCTGCGTACAGAGGCATCCTGAGAGCCGTGCGCAGTAACGTCTCCACTGAGCGCCAAGAGAAGGCCAAAATCAAGAGGCTGGCCCTCAGTTTGATCCTCATCGTCCTCCTCTGCTTTGCTCCCTATCACGTCCTCCTGTTGTGGCGTAGCGTGCTCTTCCTTAGCAACCCCTGCGATTGCGGTGCTGAGGAGAACTTGTTTGGTGCTTATCATGTGACTCTAGCACTCACCAGCCTCAACTGTGTGGCGGACCCCATCCTCTACTGCTTTGTCAACGAAGGGGCCCGTCATGACGTGGGCCGGGCCCTGGCCACTCTCTTCGGTCTCTTCCAACGGGACCAAAGCCCAGAGGCACTCATGGGAGCGTCCATCACCGTTGAGACGCCTCTGGCTATGAAGAAGCCCGATTTCTACAGTGAGGTCAAAACGAATGCTTATAAAACTGACATTGAAGTGCTCAAAGACGAGTGCCTTCAAATGACCATTCTCAGTGTTAAAAAGTGAAGTTAAATGTCGATGTGACATACAGCGGCCCCATAAAGTGTGTGGACACTTACGTGCACACTTAAAACTTAATTTTTATTGAAATTAGCAAAATATTAAACCAAGTGGCATCTGCAAATGCTGCTAGAGCTTATCTTAAAAAAACAAACAAACTCCGTTTCTGTGTGCTATTTTGTCAGTGACTTTTAAAGCCCAAAGTATACTTCGGTATTGATGCGAATGCTTACGAACACAGGCCCATAGCATATGCGCATTGTGAAGATTTGTCCTTGTCCAGTATCTACGCTATTTCTCTCGAGAAGTCATGACTGATAAAATTGTCTTTGTACTCATTTAAACTAGAGTTGCGTGTATCTCTTAACCCCTTCACACAAGTAATTGTCAACGAGAGTGTCTGTTGTTGTTGCGGTCTCCAGCAGTTTGTTTTTCTGTTTGTTTCTGCTTTGACTGTTAAACAATGGGCTGGGGCAGTGTCGCCACCTTATGGATAAGCTAATTACTGCAACAAAAAAAAAAAATCGATGTGCATGTGCGAGTGTACTGTACATATTATGGTGATGAAGTTTTATATTACGTTGATTTCTAGTAGATGTATGAAGTTCTCCTCACTAACATTTAACAACCAAAAAAGTCAGAATACTTTTTTGCCTAAATTTTTAACAATATTTCTTTTGTTTTACAATTTAAAACCCAACAAACTTGTTTTTCTTGTTTTTTTTTGTTTGTTTTTTGTTTGAAATCTGTACTTGTGTTATCTGTCTATCTAAAACAATGCCACTTGATTTGATTTTATTACATAATGCATAAACATTCAGCATTTAAGTGCAGCTTAAAGAGATAGTTCACATAAAAATGTAAATTCTGTCATCATTTACTCATGTCATTCCGAACATTTCTTAATAGAACACAAAAGAAGATCATTTTATAATGTCTCTGTGTTTTGTTTTGTTTTTGTCCATGAAATGGAAGTTAATGAGATCAAACAGGGTTATTTTGGACCCCACTGATTTAATTACAAAAACTAAATTTCATGGACTAAATTAAATTTAAACAATTTAAACATTCTGTATTATCTTCTTTTGTGTTCTGTTAAAGAAACACACACACATATAGGTTTGGGACAGCATAATTTGTGATTAAATAATGACAGAATGTTTTGAGTGAATCCCTTTAAGAGTAATTACTTTGTGGGGCCGCTGCAAGGTGCACTTTCTGACGATAACTATACCAACACCTATGTGTACCTCAAGTTCTACCTAGAAACACTTTTTATGATAAAATCTTTAACTTGGAGATGAAGATTAATCAATGTCAGCAAAATGCTGATGTCAAAAATCTCTCCTTTTGAATGTTTTATATGTACATGCCTGCCATTTGTGTCGGTTTAGATTTTGTGGGAAATATATACTCTACTATCCCTATTTTGAAATTATTGCTCGTTTTAAGCAAGCCCAATTATTTATTTCCCCACTGTTGTCACAGTCACCACAAATACCATATGGGTTGTGTCATGTCTTAATATGCATCTTAATACACTGTATAAAGTCTTAAAAAGACTCTTTAAGAAGAGGAGCGTGTTTCTCTCAGCTGTCTCTTGTTTGACATACTTTCTGTTCGGTGGCCCACAGATACCCAAAATGGAAAGTGTTTTCCAAACAACGGGCTTTGCGGTTGTTTACATTTTTTTCTTCATTAGTTCTCCAGGTGCCCTATTTCAGCCTACCAAACTGTAAGTCCTGAAAGTCAGCAGTGAGAAAGTGCAATGTAATGGATTTGCTGTTATGCCAAAATAAAATACATGATGTCGGTCAGTCTTCTGTTGTTTAGTTCTCAACTCTTTTCTTTAGATAATTCTGATAAATTCTTTATTTGGCAACAGATGTTGTGAAAGGAAGTGATAAAGTGATATGTAAATAAAAAAGTGAATGTTTTATGGCATCATTTGTGATCCCCTTACCAAAAAGAAGTATACTTCAAGTTTATTTTATTAAGTATACTTAAGTAAAGTTCAAGTATACTTTTAAGTATACTTTATGTAGTAAGTATACACATATCAGTGTACTAGTAGTATACTTGTAAGTGTACTATTTCAATACTCCTTGGGACTAAATTGGCCCACTTGCTAGTATATAAAAGTATAGTTTTAAGTATACTTTAAGTAGAACAGTAGTAAACTTTGAGTACACAACTAGTTTACATCTATGTTTTTAGTTTGTACTGCAGCTATACTAAAAGTAAACTTATAGGTGTACTGATAGTTTACTAATTAAATACTTGTAACATTTTAGTACACTTTGAAGTATAGTCTCAGTAAACTACTTTTTTTGTAGTTTTATACTGCAAGTATACTTAAACAAAAACATTTTATTCTAGCTTCATGCATTCTTTTTTATAAACAGTGGGTAAGTTCCATAAATAAATAACATTTTGAACAAAATTTGAAAAAAGACTATGAATTGGATTCAGAATGAAGTTTCAAAATGTAGATGGAGTCGATCAACACCCCAAAGCTTGACAGTCATTACCTCTTCATGGGTCTAAATTTTATTCCATAACGTTCCACAGTTTTGATGCTGTTTTATGTCTGATGGTGTTAGATTACATGTGGAAGCATCTGTTGTTTCGGTTTCTTCTTCGCTTGTGTTTTGGAAATTCTGTACAGAAGGTGTGTAATTGCGCCCCCTACCATATAACAATGAAAACATGGATTCCCGGAGCACGCGCAAATATATTTAGACTTTTTTTAAGTATAAGTCAAGTATACTTAAAGGGTTAGTTCACCCAAAAATTAAATTCTGTCATTAATTACTCACCCTCAAGTCGTATCAAACCTTTAAGACCTTCGTTCATCTTCGGAACACAAATTGATAGAATTTGATGGAATCTGAGAGCTGTCTGACCCTGCATAGACAGCAACGCAACTGAAATGTTCCCAAGTCCAGAAACATAGCAAGGAGATCTGTAAAATAATCCATGTGACATCAGTGGTTCATCCGCAATTATACAAAGCTACAAGAATACTTTTTGTGCGCAAAAGAAAAAAAAAATAACGGCTTTATTCAACAATTCGTCTCCTCCGCATCACCCTGGTGCCATTTTGGAGAATATCCGCTGGACGTAAACAGCGTATGCTGTTCTGTGTCAGCTGTGTCACACGGATACGCTGTTTCCGTTCAGATCAAATCACAACAAAGTAGGAAACAGATCCGGCGTGACGCAGCTGACTTTCCTATACTTTCCTATTTTTAGTTTTAAAAAAGTATACTAATAGCATACTTCAATCAACTTCTTTTTCGTAAGGGTCAAGGGCAATGGCCTAGGCTTTATAACCTGAAGTACATGTAGTTCAGTGGAAAAGACATTTGCAACATTAAGGAAAAATCACATTTGTGTCAACATGGCTGTTCATGTGAAGTTGTGCTATCACAGATTAGCCATTTTGACTCCAACCAGCCACTGTAAAGAAGAACCAAGCTGCTTGTGAAGTGTGTCAGATTATTAATAGAGCGGAACACTGAGCTGCCAGTAAAATGCTCAGGGGGGACTTCTTACATATTCTGTAAACACAAGACTTTATCTCCAAAATATGTATGAAGTCTGCTAATTCCTGCGTGTTGTACACAGGTTGTTGTTGTTTACCATGAAATATCAGTTTTGAAATCATTCTGATGGAACACTAGCTTCTAATATGGTGAATGGATTCTGTTTATTTCCAGAGCTCCCACCAAACGTCTGTTCTGGGAGTTAAGTTTGGTGAGCGGGTACGAAATTCTGCAAAAAGAGCAGATTGCATTATGGCTGAAACAAATGCACGTGTACTATCCACGACAGTGAAATATTTAAAACAACAGTGAATTTCACTTACTTAACTGTAGGGGACTGCACAGAAAATACAAAAAAAGTATAGTTAAATTTTTCACCATGAAATGAGTTTTGATGGTATACTGACTTCTAATAAGGACTGTTTTGGGAGTAGGCTATATAAGTTTGGTTGGCAGGTGTTGGTGAGCAAAATTACTTTGCGGCAGCAACAAATGCACATGTACAGCTATGTACTTTAATTACGACAGTTATATATTTACAATAGTGAATTCCACTTACTTAACTGTAGAGGGCTCGAAAGTTGCAAAAATATACAAAACTACGTATAGTTGCTTTAAAGTCTTTATAGTTGCTTTAAAGACTGACATGGAATAGAAGAAATTGTTGAATAAAGTGATTATTTTTGTTTTTTTGCACACAAAAAGTGTTCTCGTACCTTCATAAAATTACGGTTGAACCACTATTGTCACATGTACTAGTTTAACAATGTCCTTACTACTTTTCTGGGCCTTGAACATGGTAGTTGCATTGCTGTCCAAGCAGGATCATAAAGCTCTCAGATTTAATCAAAAATATCTTAATTTGTGTCTGAAGATGAACGAAGGTCTTACGGGTTTGGAATGACATGAGGGTGAGTAAGTAATGACAGAATTTTCATTTTTAGGTGAATTATCCCTTTAAGACATTACTCCTAATTATCTCACAGTAAATCTGTAGTTTTAAGTGCATTAGGCATTCTTAATTAAACACTAGTTAAATTTTTTTCAGATGTTTAATCCTGTTTATAAAAGAAAAAATAACATGGGAGAATAAAACTGGTTGTTCTTAAAAAAAGAAAAATATGCAAAATCATCTTTAACCTGAATCACGTGTGTTTATTTATAGATATGTTCAAAATTTTTTTACCTTTCAACATCTGTGTGACTAAAGTCATGACTTCATGCTCCTTCATTCAATGTACTGCAGCGCACTGCCCATCTGTCCAAGGTCAATGTTTACTGGGTCACGTTCCTCCTGAGTGAAACACAATGCCTTGGCACTCCAGCTCTGCACCGGTGCAGTGTGGCTGTCCAGTGACCTGGAAAGGAGTAATGCCAATGGGTTTTTATCTGAAAGCGTCGGACTGTACAAACGTACGTGTCTGCGTACTGCTCCTTGACTTATTCTGACCTTCCAGTTAAGAGAAAATATTCAAATAATTTAATTCATTATTATTCATTAACAATTTAATCAAATATTTTTAAATTATTATTAATAGTGAAATTATTTTTTATCTATTTTTTAATGTACTAATTAAATTACTGGTGCTGTTTTTTTGTCACCATATAAGTGCTTTTCAGTCAGTCTGCATGAACATTTTCGTGTGATGTAACTTCTTTATGAATAAATAATAGGACATTATCTTTGAGATCTATAGCGGATGTTGTTGCTATCTTTTCCCATATGCTATGCTCACTGTGCAGAGGGTGAAGTGGACTACTTTAACTGTATCGTGTGTTTATCCAAGCGTAGGTCAAGGTCTCACTGGGCCATTATAATATTGCGTAGCATGCCATCTGTAACTGTAATTTATCATATTTCAGTGACAATAGACGTTGGATTGGACTATAATGAAATACAGGCTTCTTCATTAATCTTCACTGAAAACAAAATAAAAGCTCTAGAGCCCACTTACTTTAAGCACTTGCATAATCTGCACATTACAAGTCACAGTGTGATTTATTTGCTTGCTGTTGTGTGTCGGTAATCAGCAGAGACAATTGGGAGGCAAAGCCCTTATTTTTCAACAGAGATTGTCTCCCACTCACTGACATCTTTATGAGGAATATACAGCAAAGAAAAGAGGACTTTCTTCACACTAAAGCACACACATTTCCAGCACTAAAACATTGATTGATTGTGATTGGTTGAGTGTCATTCAAATTGCAAGAGAAAGGCTGAAGCGGTGATGCATTTTTTTAAAGATTGTAGACTAGAGGATGGGATGTTTCACCAGCACACGGTGGCATTTTAAATGCATGAGGTCTGGCTTATGTTGTAAGGGAAAGCGTAAGCTGGTGTATTCTGAGAAAAGACATTAGTGTGTACAAAGAGATGTTTTTCTTTTCATATTCATGCTTGAAAGACTGAGAACTATAATCAAATGTGTTTCACTGGACTTTGAACAATGGTAAAGTGATATTTCGGGACTTTGCATCATGGTTCACCGATGTGACCTTGTGTTCACCTTCAGCTCTGTTGTGTTTATTAGACTGCACTCAATGTGACCACATACTGTGTTATATAGACAGGATATATCTGTGCTATTTTAGAACTAATAATTTTATATATAGAACTAATATATAAAATATATATAGTGTTTATATATATATATTTTGCTGTATTATATGTGTGTGTGTGTGTGTTTATGTGTGTGTGTGTGTTATACAATACACTACCATTTATTATACACTACCAGTCATTTTTGTTTTACTAAAATTAATACTTTTAATCAGCAAATATGCATTAAATTGATACAAAATGACTGTAAAGACATTTATAATGTTTTTGGTTTTTAAATATTTGGAACTTTCTATTACATTAAACATTTCTGTATTAACTGTTTTCAACTTTGATCATAATAAGAAAAGTTTTTTGAGCACCGAATCAGCATATTAGATATTTTTGCTGTATTTTGATCAAATAAATGCAGCCCTGGACATAAGAGACTTCTTTCCAAAAAAAAAAATTCTAACTGATCTCAAAGTTTTGAAAAGTAGTGTACATATAAATATAAAAAAACATACATATTCACATTATTATTGTTATTATCATTAAAATTAATATACATATTTTTATGTGTTATTATTGATATTATTAAACAACAAAATATGATTAAAAAAATAGATTTATGTTATTATAATTGTTTTTATGTTTTTTTATTTTATGTAATTCTGTATTTTACATATAATTTATGTATTTTATTGTAATTCTGTATTTTATTTATTTATTCATTTGAAATCATTTTAACATTTATCCAGCCTCTACGATGTTGGGAAATATTAAGAAAATTTATCAACAATTAACAGTCTAAACTATTTACAAGCTCTGTCTGACACTGCTCACAGAAGAAGCCCTCACAGTATCAAATAGTCCATAGTCCTCCTGAGGTGAGGGGAGCGGGGTGGTTTGAGGACGGGAGGTGCAAGATGACCGCTGCAGGGTTCGTCTGCTGGGGGTCCTGGACGAGACAGAGGGTCAGTGGAATGACGTGCTCCCAGTTGATTGAACTACTGTGGGTCCAGAGGGATGGGGGAAACGAGGCGGGATGTGGTTGAATTTCCCATGTTCCCATTCCCTAAGTGAATAACCCCTTGTAAGAGCAAAACCAAAGATGGGGGAACAACTCAAGATGTGCGTGTGCTGATGGGAAGTAACCACAGACCAAGCACCTCATCATCTGGCTGGACTTCACAGTTTAGGCAAAGTCAGAAAGCTCCAGTTCTCACTGGATTCAAGGCTGAACAGCAATACATCTATCAATCTGCTCATTATATATATATATATATATATATATATACACTACCGC